CGATATATGTAACTTTCATAAAGATTAACCATAAAAATTGTGCTTCATTAACAGTTGCAACCAGCTGAAACCAAAAAAACTATGTCCGCTAAACGGGTTAAAGACCAACTGGAATTGACATTTTTTACACGCATACATGCATACATTCATATACACATGTACAGTGGAGTAGCACTAGGTTGAACAATGCATTGCTTGTACTTTGATGTGTTTGAATCTTTTATGGTACTGAAGATTTGCTTAGGGATGAAAAATATTAAAAATCGTTCGTGCATATATGTAAATATATTTTTATAAACGCTTGGAAATATAGAAATTTTTAATATTAAAAAATAAATAAAATAATTTTTTTGTATATATATAAATTTTGTTCAAGGCACATTGACCCACCTGTACAAAAATTGTGGCGCGGCATGGACAAAAATTCTACAATTTCGGACCGAAAAATATGAAAACGAGCTAAGTTGCCACGTTACATCTGTGAACTTCCGATAAAACCACATATGTTTGTGATTTTACAAGTTTTGATTTTATTTAAAAAAAATTAATGTATTTTGCTGCAGAAAACATACACTTTTATTTAATGTTTATTAAAATGACACTTTAAAATACTAGTTAATGATTGAAATATTGGTATGGAACAGAGAAATAGAGTGTTTTGTCAAAAATTACCAAAAATTACCAAAAATTGCGAAGATTCGAGATAACTTATTTTACTGGATATAGAGAAATAATTGCCAATTTTCACTTGGCTGGCCGAGATTTCTTCATTTTAAGATTTTAGAATTTTTGTGTCGGATTGACAAAGTTGCGCTTGTTGGTGATGAATTTGCGGGGAGATGTGCTGCGGTTGTTTTTATGAATGAATTTACTTGGCCTTGAGTAATATGCGCATGCGTTTATGAATGAAATAGTTATTGTTGTATTTGAGTATACGTGTAATTATGTGCATATATATGTATGCTGCCGTGATTTGTACATATGTACATTTATATGCATGTTCGTAGTTTTTTTGGCAGTAATATGCATATGCGAAAGCCGACCAATCGCACATTTGTATGTACATATATATGTTACATACATACATTACATATCTACATATTTACAAATGAATGTGTACATACGTACATATTTATGCGTTTGGCTTTTTGCATGAATAGAAAATTTGATTGCAGAAATAATTATATATGTGTATGTGCATAAGTAAATATATACATACATACATGCATATGTTTCATTAAATTGTAATGAAATAGTTTTATTGAAAAAGTTCCACTTAACATGACTTTAGATAATTGCGGAAAAAAGTCGAAAAAATTGACTTAGAAAATCTCATCAACATAGCTGAAACAGAAAAATTCATACATGTTTGCAAAAATGAATTTGCAACCAGCAAATCGATTTCACGCAAATATCATATTTTCGGCAAACAAGCAAATGTACAAAAGCCCGCTCCTTTCCCCGTTTCCCCGCTTCTTTTGTACACTTGTCGTTCCGACTACCATTTTTATTTTAGAGTTTGTTTTGATCCGACACAAGCACGCGCCTGCCTCCGCAAGCACCCCCTCTGCCCTATGCTTATTACATTTTTGTTCCTCTTTCCATTTTGTTCTTATTTTTTCATTTTGCTTTGAACTGCTCGAAGTGTGGTGGGACGGAAAAATTTTTGGTATGGTGGCAGCCGACACTTCTGTACCGACACCGTCGGTCAAGTGGTGCACTCGTCGACGTGAGGTATATTTGGCCGACTGCACCCCAAAATTTTTGCGGAACAAAAACGGTCACAGAAAATGCGCCTTCTCATTCATAGACGTTCTCTGTCTCAACTATTCACACTGCCACTACACAATTTAGCAAACACTGTTGGCTGAAAGCTGTTCCGACATGCGCCTAAACTCATGCCACCGAACCAAATAACCTTTTGTGCTTACTAGGGATTTATAAAGGGAACATAAATTAGGATGAAATATAGAGGGACCAAAAATGACCAACAAAAACTCAATACTATATTGATGCAAATTTTCTAAACATGCAAAATAGGAAGCCTGCAATTTACATACATAAATATACACATATAATTCTTTGGCTTTTTCGATTCACTCACCTTATAACTTTCACAAATTAGATGAAGATTGCACAACTACACTTCAATTTAATAAAAAAAAAAAAACTTGTTCGGGCCGGCCCAAGCCACTCGCGCACCACATCGAAACTAGATATGTATATCGCCACGGAAGCTAAAATAAACACTACTCGCGCATGCATTTATGTAATTTGCTCATTAAAACACTTAGTTTTCCTTTTTTTTATAGAAAACTAAAACTTTTCACTTCATTTAACGCAAACTTGAGCATTTTCAGAACTTTTTAACACACACTCGACGGAAACAATCGCGGTACTGTTGAAATGGCGTCGGAAATTGAGTGAAGCGCAGAGGTGTATTTACACAGTGAAATATGTGGCTAATAAGGTGTTCACACTCTTGGTGTAGATTGACTAGGTTAAATATTAGGATTTGCCAAGCGGTAGTATTTTTTAACAAAATGTTGATGAAATAATTGCGCATACAACTAAGAAATAACCAAAAAAAAGTATATATGCAATTTTGTTCGTGTGAATTAAAATATATCGAAACAGGAAATAACCACGATCAAGCGAAAAGTAATGCTTGTAAAAATTAGAATTTTAAGATGATAAAAGCTTATTTTAAAAATCTTGTACAATAGTTTAGACATCAATAAAAATGTGTAGAGTTTAATAATTGGTGACGACTACAGAATTTAGTGAAGAGATATACCAATCCGATGGCAAAATTTTAGTTATGTGTTATAAAAGTTATCATTGAAAAATTTAGAATACACTGGCCCATGGTCATAGTCCTAAGTTTAAAACCATTATTGTTAAAATAAAGTTTTGAGTTTAGAATTTTTAAGTTGTGTCAATCATAGACAACTTAGAAACAGCGTTTTGTTAGGATGGGAGAACAGAGCTATCCATATGAAGAGAAAATATTTACTCGGCAATATAAAGAAATATGAGTAATTTAATTAGGCCACCCTGTGTCATATTTTAACCCGCAATCTGATAGGTGAATTTTCATAACAAGTTTCGACAGGTGGGGTGTCACAAACTCTATTGAAATAAAGCCTTTTATATTTTTAAGTATCTCGTTCTTCACTAAAATTTCTTTACTATTTTTAAAAATTAAGCTATTTACGTGGTTAGCAATAAAAATATGTCCCGCTCTTCGCGAAAATTTCTTTACTATTTAAAAAAATTAAGCTTTTTTAAATGGTTACCGATAATAATATGTCGCGTTATATATTAAAGCCACTTAGAAATCGCTCACAACTTGACTGAAGGCACTAAGAAAATTCCGATGCTGTGGTTTATTTCCCCCCACCTGTCAGATGACGGGTTAACACAATTTTTAATAAATACAGAAATATTTACATGGTAAAAATTATCAAATTTTATTTGTCTATTGTTCAAAAATATACTCTGCAAATAAATGGTTGGCAATTTATTTCAAGGTATAGGCATTGCTTGACTTGAAGAATAACAGTATATCAAAATAATCATGGCATCACGGCCAAGTGAAAAGTAATGTTAGCATAAACTGGAATTTTTAAATCACAAAAATTGACTTTAAAAATCTTGTAAAAATATACAGAGTTTAATAATTGGTGACGATTTCAGAATTTAATCAAAAGATAACAAAATAACAAAAGATTATCAAAGCCTTTATTGGAAAACTCTAAAGTACATATACTGACTTAATAAGAATTTAACACTTCATATTAATTTAAAAGCTAGACAGGTGGTTCTTTCCTAAACTTAATATTTGCCAATCAAAGTTTTCTAAATTCACTGAGCAACCCTGCTAAACTGAAGTTGAGTTTCAAAGCTTTCCATTTTATTTATCATGTTCAGCTTCAATTTAATTTAGAGATGCCAGTCGGAGATCCCATTAACTTTTTTGTTTTAAATGAAGTGCAGGCATTCTCGTTTTCCCCACTGTACGATTTTTTAAACTGTTTTGAGTAAATCGCGGCAGTTCTTGCCATCACGGTTGCCATTTCCAATTTATTTTTCGGACCAAAAAATGGACCAAATATTAAAAAATGGACAAATTTTTATTAAATCGGGAAACTGAGTGGAGTTTATTCCTCTTTATCAAGAAAATATGTCAATTCAGTTTTTTATAACGTTTTTTTTTTTATATTGCATCCAAAGTGCATTACAATTGTATATTATTAACATTATATTATTTAAAGTTTTAAATTATAATTTGTTTCTTAGTTTCAGCTAAATCAAAAAATCTGCGCTCAGCGCTGCGGAACTGTGAGGCAGACTAAAAATGTTATGAGCTAAATCGCACAATTCTCTAAAGGCCGCTTCACCCAATCCATTTTTAATCAAACTTACTTGATCCCAAAAACATTTTATATTAGTACAGTTTTTGAAGTTACCTTCACTCAGCCTCAACTTGCGAAATTGAAATTCAATTATGTCTGCATCATTTACCAATGCAGCAAATTGATCGAGTAGCGGCAAAATTGATACATCAGTATCAGAAAGAACTTTATGCGGTGTAATAATTTCAAGATTTTTAATATCTTATCGATTGAAATCGAATATTATTTTCATGTGCTAAATGCTATGATTAAAGTTTTGCTACCTTTGCATATTCTTACCAGCTGCTTTAATATTGGTCACCGAGTAATTGAAATTAGAAAGCTTGAAAATACGTTTGAAAAGAGCTACCACCTGTTTCAATTAACTAATTCAAAAAGTATATGAAATGTAAAAATACCGTAGTCAAACGAAAAAATGTTAAGAAATCTTTAGTTTGAACATTTCGAATGTTTAAAGGGAGTTTCCACGAGTTTAAAAAGTTACATTCGAATTATTCAATGAGGTGGATGAATTTCTAAGAGATTGGTATAAATCGAAATGGGTTTGAAAGGGATGTATTCTGGACCTTTATTTAGGAGGGTTGCCATTTGTTCGAACATATGTATCACAATGTCCGATAAAAGAGATTTAAGAAGATTTTTTGCTTTGAGAATACTTTTAAAAAGGAATTTCAAAAATGAGAGGTCAAATTAGAGGCTTTAACCTGTAGATTCATGATAAAGTTTTATTTTTTTTACTAACAACTTTTTTCGCCGGTATAGGGTGTTTTAAAATTCGATTAAAATAAAAACATGCACTATGCGAGACAGTGGTCGGACTTCTACCACATTGTGGTAGATCTGCCACTTACTTGAGCATCTACCACATCTACCATTCAAGGTCTGAGATCTACCATTCAAGGTCTGAGATCTACCATAACAACTTAAGAGCAATAATTGTCCAACACTAAAAACTATATGGTAACAAAAATGATATAATACAAGATTCCGCATTCTCGGCGCCGATGAAATTTCTCAAGTAAAAGTAAACCAAGCTGAATGGGAGGATAAAATAAACTGTAGAATAGTAGATTTTCCGACAGGAAACGATTCATTGTGTTAAATTGCAAAATATATGTTTTGTAAAAATAATCAATAGCGAAAATGTTAGAAAACGGTGATTTTGGTAAAAGTATTAGCAAATTTATATGCATCTGAAGTTTCTGAGGCGTTGTTTACTTTTAGTTGCGAATTGTCAAAATCGGCAAATCCCAATTAGCTGTTTCTGGAACGTGCCATATTTGTTAGCTACTTCGTGATGTGATAGAAAGAAAAACTGGCAGCACTTCGCAAGGTTGCATAATCTCTTAAAATATGTTCGAAACATATCTGGATATGGAAGAAACTGCTTTACACTGTCAAGAAAAAAATTGCCAAAACTCATCGCAATTTTTAGCAACTTCAATCTTGCATTTTATTATGCTAAAATTAAATTTGTTTTAAAGTTTAATTAAAAAGTTTGCAATTTAGGTGAAACCTTGCAGAATTTTCTTAATTTTTGTACAAAGGTTGATCCAAACCCAGAGTACTACCAAATTTTTTTGAAATCTACCACATGTTTTTCCAGATTCTACCACAGAATTTTTTTAACTGCTCTTCACTCAGAAACGGCTGCACGGTTTTGATGAAATATGGCACTCGGATCTTTTATAACTCTGACTAACATTTGGAATATTTAAGTTTTTGAAACCATCGATTATAAAAAGGCAATAAGATGCCCATGGAAAAGGAAAATTAACCTAAGAATGGCAGCGTCTTGCGCTTATTTGAAAATAGTACCCCTAATCAATACTTATTTGCGTGATTTAGTTATTTGGTAATAAAAAATTAACTCAGCGTTTATACGGCAAAGTTTACCATTTTGCAAATTGTTATTTGCAAATAATGCGTGTAAATAAACGTGGTATATGATTGACACAACCTGAAAATTCTAAACTCAAAACTTTATATTAACAAGAATGAGTTTTAACTTACGATTATGACTTTATGGCCAGTGTACTTTTAATTTTTCAATGAGAGCTTTTATAACACATAACTAACATATTGCCATCGGATTGGCATATCTCTTCAATAAATTCTGTATTCATCACCAATTATTAAACTCTATACATTTTTATTGATTGACCGTGGTAGGTTCCTGTTTCGATTTATGTTCATTCACACAAACAAATTGTATATATAATTTTTTTTTCGTTATTTCTGCAATTTATTAGTTATATACGCAATTATTTCAAAATTTTTTTTTAAATATACAACTGCTCGGCAAATCCCAATATTTAACCTAGTCAATCTACACCAAGAGTGTGAACACCTTATTAGCCACATATTTCACTGTGTAAATACACCTCTGCGCTTCACTCAATTTCCGACACCATTTCAACAGTACCGCGATTGCTTCCGTCGAGTGTGTGTTAAAGTTTCTAAAAATGCGTATGTTTGGGATTAATATAATGAAAAGTGTTAGTTTTCTGCAAAATAAGGAAAACTATGTGTTTTACTTAGCAAATAACATAAATATACGCGCGAGCAGTGTAGTTTAGTTTTCGTGGCGATATTTGTAGTTTCGATGTGGTGCGCGAGTGGCTTGGGCCGGCCCGAACAAGTTTTTTTTAAATTAAATTGAAGTGGAGTTGTGCAATCTTCATCTAATTTGTGAAAGTTATAAGGTGAGTGAATCGAAAAAGCCAAAGAATTATATGTGTATATTTATGTATGTAAATTGCAGGCTTCCTATTTTTGCATGTTTAGAATATTTTCGTCAATAAGTATTGGGGTTTTTGTTAGTCATCTTTGATCCCCCTATATTTCATTTTAATTTATGATCACTATAAATCCCCAGTAAGCACAACAATTAATTGGGTTCGATGGCATGAATTTAGGCGCATGTCGCAACAGCTTACAGCCAACAGTGTTAGTTAAATTTTTGCTGAAGCAGTGATGTACATTAACATTTTCTGGTTTCAGGTGTAGCCTGTCCTGGCATTTGAGCGGCGGCTCGCACCACAAATACTGGCCAAACAACTGCTATTTTCTCGCCAGATGGCGCGAAAAGCATCAAAGAGCAGAAAGTGGAAACTATTCGTGGCCGAAAATTTAACTGCGTTGAAAAATTAGACTACTTCACTTTTTCAAAGGTTTTAATTTTTTGGCTACGAATAGTCTCCACTTTCAATTTGTACTTTCTCTAATTTCTCTGATTTTAGCATTTTTTCGCATATGTGGTGCGAGCTGTCGCTCAAATGCCAGAACAGGGTACACCTGAAACCCTAGTTTGCTGTCTTACACTTATTTATATATCCCAACTAAATTCTATTCTTTTCTAGTAATATAACATTCTCCAATCTTAGCCCTTATATTCTTATATACAATGTCCATAAATAACGTCTTTTTTATAAATTATTTGCCAAAGTTGGAGTGTACTAAAATTGAAGCAACGCTGTGTATTCCATTTTGCCCTTTACAAAATTGCCACAACACTTTTGTCCCGCCGTTTTGACATTTGTGCGTCGTGCTGTCAAAAAACCTGCAAGCAGGCGACGCCGGCAGACGTTTTGGTTAAAAAGTTTAATAATTTTGTTACAAACATTTGAAATAAGTGCATTAAAAACATCTCAAAAATGGCTTTTAAAGGCAATACGAAAGTGCAAAAGGTGATGGTGCAGCCCATCAATCTGATTTTTCGTTACCTGCAAAATCGTTCACGCGTACAAGTGTGGCTGTATGAAAATGTTTCGCTTCGCATCGAAGGGCACATTGTTGGCTTCGATGAATACATGAATCTGGTGCTGGACGACGCCGAGGAAGTCTGGGTGAAGACTCGTACACGGAAGAATCTAGGGCGCATCATGTTGAAGGGTGATAACATAACACTGATACAGAATGTGAGCCCATCAAAGGATTAAATAGGCGTAGCAGGAAAGCGCCACACAAAAGTGAGGTTATGTGCGACTGCCAATGGATGGGCGCGATATCGATGAAGGTAGCATTTCTAGACGTAAACGGTGTTGACTTGACTTAAAACTATGCATTAAATAAATAAAATAAAATAAATTCATAATTACAATAACTTTAAACTGTATGCAAAATGTGTAATTTTTGTAATGCTCCAACAACTCAGGTTGCACCATGAAGGGGAAAATGAAAAAAGCATGTATTTTTACTAAACTAAAAATTAAGTTAGTTTATAATGAAAAACTTGTAATTGAATTTTTAGGTTTGGTCTGATTTCAATGAAAATGAGAAATAAATGTGAAATATGCAAAAACAGAGCTGATAAGCAAGTGTGATTAATTAGTAATAAAAAAAGGAGAACGCAGGAATGGCTGTGAAACTATTAAATTATACACGGTACGCCTTTATAACGACCCACATTAAGTGCTAAATCCTTTGTAAAATGACGCTTTTGTGCTAACTCGTAAATATTAAAATTTTTCCCAGGTGCCAAATGCGCTGCTTCGTTTATGGAACGCTGCATAATTTACATTGGTGAGAATGCCAGTGAGTGTGCCAAAACCAATGCTTTTCTGAATTTGACCAAGGACGCATTGGTGAAGTTGATATCCTCAGATTACGTAAGTAAGCCTATCACATTACTAATTATTCTAGTAATTTTAATATATTTCTTTATTCAATTAGTTTTGTCTCGAAGAGGAGGACGTCTGGCGATGCGTGCTCGCCTGGGCTAAGAATCAAGCTGGCGTCACACAACCCACCGCACATTGGACTGAGGAGGAACGTGCACGCGTTTGTCAACACCTATCGGGTGTGATGTGTCACGTACGTTTGCTGTTAATCGATAGTCAAGTATTCGCAGAGGAGGTTGAGCCTACTGGTGCTGTGCCTATGGAACTGTCATTGGAACGTTATCGTTATGCAGCTCTACACTCCAATAAAACTGGTGGCAGTGGTAGTAGTGTTGGCGTTGGTGGGGGTTCGATGATGCCGTCTGTACCGGGTATGACGGAGGATGATAAGCGTTTGCAGCCGCGCTTAACAGTCAATATGTTCCCAGGATCGCAATTGTTGCGGAATGATAAACTGTATTTACAAAGCGTACTGAATGGGTGGTAAGTAATTGCCACCGTAAGAAACTTAAAAAAAGAATAAATTTTGCAAACAAGCAATAAATATTTTATCGCTACTCATAATATATCTGGTAATTTTAAGGTATGGCATGCCTAAACAATCTTGGCGTTTAGTGTTTCGCGCCTCAACCCATGGCTACTCATCGAGCGCTTTCCACCGTTACTGTGATGGTGTGGCACCTTGCTTTGTTGTTGGCATTGTAAGTAGTACATAAAGGGAAAAGGAAAGTAGTTTACATATTCATTATATTCCCAATTAAGGGTTCGCGTGGCGAGCTAAGCGGGGGCTACACAGATGTTGCATGGGCAAAAACGAGTCGTAAAGGCGGCTATATACATTCGGAGCGCGCATTCTTATTCGCGCTCAATCCCGCTGGTGGTGATCCATCCGTTAAGTTTGATATAATCAAGAAGCCCTATGCCATATGCTATCACCCAGAGTGAGTAACGAATACTAATTATCGTTTGCTTAGCAAGATATGTAATTAACTATTGTTTTCTTTCTTTTGTCATCCAAAAGCTGCGGTCCTATTTTCGGTGCTGGCGCTGATTTGCTCATCGCCAATAATTGCAATACGAATATGGATTCGTATTCGAATTTGCCTCATTCGTATGATGGCCCTAACGCCTCTTACTTGACACTCTTTGGTGATTACAATTTCACGGTTGTTGACTATGAAGTCTATACATTATCCACAACCACAGCCGTCGGCAGCGCAGGCGGCATAGGAACAGTAGGCGGCAGTGGCAATGGAAATAGCAGTAACAATAATAACAACAGTGGTACTTCGGGCAATAATGGCAGTAACAGTAATAAAAATGGTTCATCATATAACAGTAGTGGCAACAACAATAGCAGCGGCAATTTGTCAACGAATATCGTTGGCGGCAGCAATGGTGGGGGTGTGGGTGCTGGCAGTGGTGGCGTTGTTGGCGGCATGCACAAACCAAAGTATGAAAGATATTGATTGGATATATATATATATTTTTTTTAATTTCTTAATGTTTGTACTTCCAATTTGGTTTTGCTGTTATTTATGCTTTTAAAAAGTCTAATTAATCTTTGACTTTTTTCATAGCTTTGCCCCATGAAATAGATATATGTGCACTTAAAATTTATTTAATATTTTTTAAATAATGTACCTACTTGTTTTTTATTTGAGTCCACATGCAAAATCGAGCCTCAGTACTTGTAACTTCTTGAGCTGACGCATATTCAAAATAAAGCTAAATGCTCTGTACTAAGGTGGGTGCAAATCATTCGTGTAAATGTGCGGATGAAAAATTTAGTAGTAAAGCGTTCTCAAAGGAGATATTCCATGTTTGCTATGGATATCTTGTAACAAAACTTAAAGCTGTATCGAATTCGGCCGTTCTTTAACATTGTCTATCACCATGTTTGTACAACGTAATCCAGGATTATAGATAAAAATCGAGGTAAGTTTAATTGCAAATATTGTTGTTACGTAATTTTTTATTTGACTCAAGGAATGTTTCTCGATCGGTCTCAAATTTTAAATTCTATGCTTTAATTAGCTTGCAGGAATGCAGTATGTTTTTCTATCTGGATCAGCCGTTGTTTTTTAGCGACGACTTGGTTCTGCCTTGCTCAACATAGAAATACATTTACATCTTATTTTGTATGAAAATTTAAAATCAAACCCTCCAGGGTGTATGTATGGGATTTCTAGGGAGTGAGGGAGGGGTCTAATTAATTTATAAAGTCATTTTGGGTTTCAGGGCAGCGATTTTTTTTATTATTTTTGAAGTGAAACTTCTTTAGCGGCGGTTGGTTGGTTGGGAGTAAATTGGCAAATTCAAGGGAAATTGCACACGGAAATGGTGCAACGGAAATGGTTGGGGCTGAAACAAGTGCTTCTTGAGTGTATGCATATGGTATGAATTTAACAAAAACTTGCTAAAAAAGGTTATAGAATAACTCTTAGAAAAAGACCAATGCAAGAATGTAAGTAAAGGTGAGTACGTAGATAGATAAAGAAAAGGATGAAGGCAAAGGCACTTTACTTAAGTGAAGGGGAATATTAAAGAAAAAGCTGAGGATGAGGATACCGATAAAAGTATAGATGAAGATAGAGGAAGAAAGATTAAAATAAAGGTAAATATAGAAAAAAGGATACAGATGGTGCAACAGAGACTCAATCTGTGAACTATTTTGGGATTTTAGAGATTTTCGGGACTTATCGATATAATAATCGATATTGTTATCGCTTTTGTTATCGATATGTTCGGAACCTAACGATACAATTATCGATATCGATTTTGTAATCGATATTTTAAACGGTTTTTTATCGATTATGTAACATATTTTTGGCGATTTTTTATAGATATTTTTTTATCGATATTGTTATGGGTTTGTTATCGACATTGTTGTAGATTTTATTATCGATATTTTTATACAAGTTATCGTTATTTTTATCGATTTTGTTATCGACTATTTTTCGATTTTGTTATCGATATTTTTTATCGATTTTGTCATCGATATTTTTTCGATTTTCTAAATAATTTTTGTTATAAATTTTGTTATCGCTATTTTTATCGTTTTTTGTTATCGATTTTGTGGTGATAATTTTATCTATTTTGATATCGGTATTTTTTATCGATTTTCTAATAGATTTTTCTACCAATATTATTATCGATTTTGCTATTCAATTTTTATCGAATTTGTCATCGATTTTGTTATCGATATTTTTGTTGGTTTTGTTATCGATATTTTGTTGGATGTTACTATCGATTTTGTTATCGACAGAGTATAAAGATAAAAATGATGAAAAAAGGAAAACAGAATAACATAAATGTAATTAGAAGGAACAGGGGTAGAAGTAGGGATCTAAATAGCAAAAAGACAAAAAATATAACCTTAAGCAAAAGCGGATGTATGTACATACCGTCGTTTAAAGTGCAAAACCGCGTATCAACAAAATGCAAAACCGCGTATATGAAGTTGTAAAAATTATTTTCTAGAGGCCAAAAACACTCATATTTGAAAATGGTTCTCTTTTTTTATATAGCAATCGCATTTCTGGCTAGTATATTTCAGGACGAATGGATAAGGATTGAGCCAACAGCTTGTGTCCGCAAATTCAATTTTTGGAAGCCAATGTTATTTACGCGGTTTTGCAGATTGACGATACGCGGTTTTGTACTTTAAACCACGGTATGTATGTATGTATATTGGTTATGAGACAAAATAGATATGTAACGTAAGTTTCACTTCTCCAGTGTGGCACAGGCGCACTTACTTTTTTTTAATTTATTAAGTGCAACCATACCCATCATGGAGCACCTGGTACAAGAAATGCTTAAGAGAGTTCCTATGACAAAAAAGAAACAAACATCAATGTCTTTAGCGAAAGAATTGATAGCCTTGTGCTTGCGTGTAAGTAAGCTCACCACCCAGCGGATAACGACAAGTAAGATGACTGCGTATAGACACAGGGCAACGATATCATTACGGGGCACCGCTCTAACACCAACTAGCCTCCAAAGCCAGGTACGACGTTCCGATAGGTATTTGGTGACGCCACTGATCAAGAGGACTTTGGGAATATTTAAAAGGACAGGACACGAAAGACGCTGTATGGTTAGAGGCGAACTTCACCTTTGATCATAGTACAAGGCTAACCCTGCTACAAAAAAAACCCTGTGGACTGAGTGGGCGAACCTTGACAAAAATGAACTGACCGTGTTTTAGACAGGAGCTTCGACATCAGACCACGACACCACCTAGGTTACGATCCACTCAAGCCATTGATGAGGCGGTGGTTAATTTAACCGCTACCCTGCTTGCCAGGTTGAATAAGACTTGTCCGTCTCGTCCACCGGCTGTTCCCTGGTGGAACAAGGTGCTTCGTAATTTGGGAGGTGAGTCGAGAAAACTTCTAAACCAGGCCATCAAAACTAATTTTGAGAAAGACTGGGAACGCTATCGCTGCGCTCAAAGGCTAATTCACTCTGCGAATAGGGCCTCTTTTAAAGAATACTGCAGCGGGATTGAAACCTTGGGCCAAACTGCTAGGCTGGTGGAAGTTCTGAAAAGAACTTGAAAGAGTTACATAATAGCGTGATGCAGGTGACTCCTCTCTCGCAACTTCATATAGCTATATATTCAATGTATTCACTTGCGATTACTAGTACCATGAAATTCTTACCTCTAAATTTTTGCATCTTGAATTTTCCAAAACATCGCAACAACGAACTTTTTCCGAAATTCTTGCTACTACTGGAAGTAAGAAGAACACACGAAAATGAATGTTAATTCCATGCTATGCAACTATTGCATGTCAACAGCAATGCCGCCAAAAGTCTAAAGCAACATGTGTCGACAGTGGCAGCAACAGATCTCAATTTCAAACAACATACAAGTGCAACAACAAGCAAAAAAGTTGCATGAAACACAAATAATTTAATGTAGTGCAACAAAAGCGACAACTACTGTAGCTGACTGGCGAGCCAACAGCAACCAACAACTAAATGCAAGTATGGAAGTACATAAGTAAGTATGTAAAAATGCAATATGCATGCCTATACGTTCGCCTTTTTAGCACCAAATGTCGCTGCTGTGTTGAGACACAAATTTTCCATTTAAAGTTATGCGCAAAGGACACGCGACAACACTGTGCCGACACTTGTTGCAGGAAATCCTGCTGATGCAGCAACTCTTTCATTTCCTTTCGTACCTTCTTTGGGCTGTCGACTGTAGGTGTTGTGTTTTGTAGCCGGTGATTTGCAACTTACAAGCGAATCAGGTGTTAAATACGCGAGACACATAAAAATGGCAAGCGAATTGCAACAAGAACAACGCTAAGAAGTGTATGCAACAAAATGCTACATGTTAAGTGAAAAGTTGGTAAAAAGTTGAAGAATAAACCAACTAACGGGCATATGTACCTAAGCTTAGAAAACTCTTTTGCTAGTTGTTACTCGTCTGTGGGCTGTCTACCAGCATATTGTTGTAGTAGTTGCTGCCGTTGCTGCTGCTTCTGTTATTGTTGTTAAGTTACATTCGTTGCAGTTGGCGAGCAGCAGGTGACAATTTACAGCTTAATTTAATTTGTTGTGCCAAGCATCAAGCAATTTGAGCGCAAAAATGTTTTCCTTTGCTTTGTAACAGCTCACTGGGCTGTTAGCATGCGGCCAAATACTAAAGACTTTGGTAGCAAACTCGTTGAATGTTGGCAGAAAACAAACATCTGGTGGTCGTCATTTGGTGGGAAAGTCGAAAAAAAAGATTTTGATTAAATAATTTAATTTATATAGCTTAGAGATAATTCAAAATCAGTAGTAAGATATTTATTTATAAATCAAAGTATTAATACAGCGTTAGAGGAAGAAGAATAATATCTGAAGTGTACAAATTGTGTGCCCCGACGTTTGTAAAATGAAACCAACAACTTATTTCGGCTATTCGCCAGAACTTTAAAGGCATTTGTGTTATCAACAAGTAGGTCTATGAACGTTCATCTTCGCTCTGGGGTGGCTCTCTCCGATGGGGATGGCTGGGCTGGGAGTTCTATCTGGATTTTTTGAATATACGGATAATCCGGATATTCGAATATCTGGATAACAAAATGGACAGAAAGTTTAACGGACATTAATCAGACATGGGGATATCCGAATAACAAAAGAGAACGGATATTAACCGGATATCCGGATTTTAATCGTACACACGAATATCCTAACGGAAAGTCTTTCGTAATACAACTGCCCAATCTGGCAATTATCCTTAAAGCTCTTTTTTGTCTTTCGAAACAGTTTGTCTTTTTTCAATATATTTTCTTAAAATTAGATGAGATTAAAATTTAAACAAATAATACCTTTCTAAAATTTGAATGAAATTAAAAAAATATATATTTCTTTTTAATACAAAAAAATCCAGAAATTAATAAAATAACAAAAACAAATAACTTAACGACGAGCATGTCTAAAAGTTAAACACATTCTAAAAATAGAAATATTAACAAAAACCAACAACCACATCACTTCTACCATTTTTTCAAATTATTGTTGCTTTTCCACAATAACCTTTTCATTAAAAACGTCCTTAAGCTCAATAAAAATTGTTAAAAAAGCTAAAGTTCCTAAAAAATAAATTATTTTTTTTTTGTGAAATAAGATTATCTAAAAATTAAAATACAATTAAATTAAAAAAAGGGATTAAATAGGCGTGTAAACATGGCGGTACAAGATAGCGTTGAGCTGAGCTAAAGGGCAAAAAAAAAAAATATTAATAAAAATATTTTTATTTGTTTT